ACCTTAGCTAATGCATCACGGGTATAGAAAGCTGCATTTACGTCGTGAGTTTTCGCCACAACATCCTCACGAGCGGCGATCACCTTAAAGGGCCAAAGTAGGGATTTTTGAAGCCCGACTTTTGCTGCTTACCTGAGAGGTGAGGGCTCCATGTAATTGCTGAGGGGTGACGGACAGGCAATTCGCGGCATCTTGCAGAACATCTTTATTGGTCACATGACAGTCGCCACTGGCTGATTGAGAATCGACAAAGTTCAGATTGCCCAGATGGATAATGCCAGCAATTATGGACCAAAGCTAAAAAGATGGGCGGATCCTAATATTCAATCTATGTCTAATTGAACTAAAATTAGTAAGTTTGGACTCAAAAACAGGCAAGACGACATATGTCACGGAGCCGCGACGCAGCCGCGACGCAACGGCGACGTAGCTGCGACGTAACCGCGACGCCTGCCTCGTCGCTGACAATTCATGAAAGAGACGAATTCTTTTAGATGAAAATGGATGATCTCTTCAGCTTATAAAGTATATCATCATCCACTTATTGGACCTTAGCATTTAGCCTAGGCCTTCTGTGAAAAGAAACCAAAGTGTTATCTGTATAGTCATGCGACGATGCAGTAGCGTCGCGGTCGCGTTGCGTGTCGTGTCCGTGACATATGTCGCCCTTCACCTTCGTTGCATAACCTACCCCTTCAATTTCGGATTCACTGAAACCAGTTGTCTTCAATGAGCTTTGAACTTCTTTGAAGTCTCGAGCATCATCGATGGATGAAACCTTAAAATATCATTAAATTGCATATTCCACAGGTGAAAAAAAGTTTCTGGACAATTTTAAGTTACCTTGTCGCTATCTCCTTGGTTCAAATAAAAGTACTTCTTCGGATTCCTTTCCAAACCAAACTTTCTTAACTTCCCCTCATCAATTCCACGCAAAAGATGGTAGAAAGAATGGAAATTACGCTCGCCTATCTGCTGTCTTACAACACGAGACTAAAAAAGTCATATAGATAGTTCTAAATATAATAAATAGTAAATTTGGCAGTCACCTTTTCCAAAAGATAGTTGGAAATGTTTCCTCCAATGGGATCACCTCCATAATTGAAGTTGATATGCATATACTTTCCAAATCTGCTCGAATTGTCATTTCTGTTGGTTTTAGCACAACCGAGTGATTCAAGAATGCAGTTTGATCGTAATAGAATATTCTTGACTCTATAAATTGATAGTTAGTTAACTGGTTATCCGAAGAAACTTTAAGAAATCTCGCAATTTGGATTTTCCCTCGCCTAGTCCTTATTTCCCAAAATTGGTGTAAGGACTTCGCGTGAAAAAAATCGTCGGTAATCAATTTGAAAGTCAGATCAATAAATATTTCAAAAACGCTTTTATGATTATAGATAGTAAGAAAATTAGAAGATCGTTGAAGTTCGCTGTTATTCATCTCGGACCTTAACACCCTCCCATTTGTTACCCTTCACCCTGCCGACCCCTATCCGACGGTCGCTTACCCGATTTAGTGGCTATGATTGTCTCCGTTCGGCATTCTTGGGCAACAAGCTCATTAGGAAACACAATATCGCATTCATGATTTCAACTCTCGCGGGATTGGCGCAAGTGTGGATCATATTACCGAAAGTAATTAATGAGCTATAGTGCTAGATCTTGTTGATGATGGGCTAATCTTTAAAAATTATGGGATTGAACTCTTTAAAATTGAATTCACTCTGAATGTTTC